ATATGAGGCACCAACTAAATAAGGATGAACAATACATACTCCCTACCTTCTACATGCTCAGCCTGAAGGAATGTTAGAAATAGATAACCCAATTTAACGATGCCTGGCATAGGTAAGCATAACAATCTACAAAAACACAAATAAGGAGTGACCTGCTTAGAATCAGGTAATTATTTAACATTACTTTGACCAAACCAAATTCAACAACATTGATGATTCACTAAAACTTAATGAGATTTATCCCTCAGATACAAAGATGATTCAACATACGAAAATCAATAATAAGATATACCACACTAACAGAATAAAGACAAAAATCATAATCATCTCACTAGATGTAGAAAAAGTATTTGAAAAATTTCAATATCCTTTCATGGTTAAAACTATCAACAAATTAGGTATAGAAAGAATGTATTAAAATCCAATAAAGGCCAAATAGGACAAACCCACAACTAACATCACGTTCAACAAAGGACAGTTGAAAATCTTTCCTCAGTGATCTGTAATAAAAGAATACCCATTCTCATCACTTATATTCTAGGGATCCTAGCCAGAGCAATTAACCAGGAGAAAGAAAAGGCATACAAATCAAAAAGGAAGAAGTTAAATTGTCCCTGTTTGCTAATGACAGGATCTAATATGTAGAAAACCATAGACTCCACCGAATAGGTGTTATAACTGATAAATGAATCAGAAAAGTTACAAGATACAAAATCAACATGCAGAAATAAGTAGCTTTTCTCTACACTAACAATGGACTTCATGAGAAAGTAATCAAGAGACCAAACTCATTTACAATAACTACAAAAAATAGTAATAAATTTAGCCAAAGAAGTGAAAGACCTATGTATATAAAACTATAAAACATTAAATGAAAGAAATTGAACAAGAAAGAAAAAAGTGGAAGGATAGCCTGTGTTCATGGATTGGAAGAATTAATATTATGAAAAAGGCCCTAATACCCGCCCCCCACCCCCCGCCAAATATCTACAGATTCAAAGCAATCCTTATCAAAATTTCATTTTCATTTGTCACAGATATAGAAAAACAATTCTAGAATTCACAAGGAACCACACAAAAGTGCAAATAGCCAGAGCAGTCAATAAGAAAAAGAATAATGCTAAAGGCATCATACCACCAGATTTCAAACTATACTGCACAGCAATGGTAATTAAACAGCATGGTACTGGCATAAAAATAGACATATCAACCAATGGAACAAACAGACCAGAAAATGGAGTATACATTTATAATCAACAGAACTTTAACAAAGGCACCAATAATGGGGGGGGATAATTCTTCAGCAAATAGTATTATGAAAACAAGATATCCATATGCAATCAAATGGAATTGAACCCTTATGTCACACCACATACAAAAATACACTCAAAGTGGATTAAAGACTTAAACATAAGCCCTGAAATGGTAAACCTACAGGAAGAAAACTTGGAGAAAATATGTTGGTTTGGGCAAAGATTTTTTTTATTTGCCCCATAAATACAGGCAACAAAAGCAATATAGACAAATGGGATTGTATAAAAATTAAAAACCTATTCATATCAAAGGAGAAAATTAACAATGGGCAAACTATGAATCAGGAGAAAGTGTAAGCCATACATCTGATGAGAGATTAATATCCAAATAATAGAAAATGCAAATTAAAACCATAATGAACTATCACTTCATATGTTAGAATGGCTTTTAACAAAAAAGACAAATAATAAGTACTGGTGAGGATGTGGAAGAAAGGGAACCCTGAACTTTAACAAAGGGAGGAAAGGGAACAGAACTTTAACAAAGGCACCAATAATGTGTGTGGGGGGGATAATTCTTCAGCAAATAGTATTATGAAAACAATATGGTAAGAATGTAAACTAGTATAACAATTATGGAAAACAGTATCCAGGTTCCTCAAAACACTAAAACTACCATATTATCCAGAAATCCCCTTTCCTATTTACCCGAAAGTCTTGAAATTAACATGCTGAAGGCATATCTCTACTCTATGTCATTGCATCTCTGTTCATAAAAACCAGGTTGTGGAATCAAACTAAGTTTCCATCATGGGATGAATGAATAAAGAAAATTTGGTATGAAATGAAATAGTAGTTAATATTTTAAAATGTAGAGATCAGGGCTTGAAATACATAGATCAGGGTTAGATCTCTTGCCTAATATACACTAAGCTTTGGGTTCTATGCCCAGCACTGCAAAAAAAAAAAGAAAAAGAAAAGAAATGAGTGAAGAGATCCTATCATTTGGGACAGCATGGATGGAATTAGAGAACATTATGCTAAGTGAAATAAGCTCAGAAAAATTGCACAGTATGGTGAGTAAAGCTCATAATTGCATCCTATATATTTCCATTTTCCTGAAAGCAAACTTCTAATGTTTTCTTCACAGGAAAATATTAAATATTTGAAGGAATGGATTAATTTATTTTTTCCAAATCATATTAAAAATGATATCACCAGTTCTATCCCATTATTACAACTTATCAATCTGTAAGAAAAAATTAAATTTAAAAAACACTACCTGGAGTCCAAGCCATCTGGACTGCAGCTTAGAAAATGTAAAGAATTAGGCTAAGCAATGGGAGATAAGAAGTTTCTGGTAGAGAAATCAGCATGAGTTTTCTCTCTTCCTGGCCAAGAGAAGAGGTGTAGTGTGTTTCCTGCAGGTAAGAGCTGGTAGTTTGGTTCAGTGTTCCCAAGGGCTAAAATATGAAGCTGAAAATAAAGCTAACAAGGCTAAGAACTAGATTGTGAATATCTTTCTCAAATGTTGAAGTTTTGTTTGCTCTCTCCAAACATTGATAATATTAGGGGAAAGCATCTGGGTATCTCCCAATCTCTGCTTCCTTTCTTCTTTCTGTACTCCCATTAACCAAGAAATTATAATCCCTGAGATATTAGCTCTAATAAGAGCAATGCGCTTCAGTTGATGTTCTTGGAACTAGATACAAATTACTTTGAAGATACTCATCTTCCCATCCTTTTGTGCGCTAGACCTCTGGATCTTAGAGAAACTGCCTTATCTATCACCTATGTGCTGTCTCTCTCCATGGCTATATATTTGACAAAGCAGTCAAGGTTACTTACTATAAAATGTATTCATCACCAGATGCCAGACTATCACTACTTTTTCTGCTGTGCCTAGAAATCCATGATAGCAGAAGTCATCTGCTCTTAATCTTCAGTAGCCTTAGATTAGGGTCAGTCACATAGGAGATCCTCCACCCACACTGACACAAGTCACTGGGTTTTAATAGGTACTTACCACAGCAAATGGATTCTCATATGCTCTGTTCTTTTGATCCTTATGATTAAGACTTATCTCCACTTATCTCCACCTCCTCCTGGCCTTCTTTGTTTCCACTGTCTATTTCTTGGACCTGGCATACCCTTTCTCTCCTCAGGGATTTTAACATGAGTTCTCCCCTCCCTGTTGGTGTTCTCCCCTCTATGTCACTAAGTCATATTTGGTCCCCCTCTTAGCTACTCCTACATTCATACTTCCCCTTCACATGTCTCATAAACTGATACCATCACTGCTATAGCTCCAGAGCTTATCTAATGCCAGACACAGAGATGTTGTTAAATATTTTAAAAACTAATGAATACTCTATTGCTATTAAGTAACATCTCTGTTCAATGAACATGGAATTTTTAAAGAACAAGCAGAATTACAGAAGATGTCAGAAATATAAAGAGTAAGGATTTAAGTTGCTCTGGCTGGGTTATTAGTTTCAACCTTTCAACATAAATATACAACTGTGCAATAACCTTCTGGAATTCAGTTTTCCTAATTCAGTCAAGAAAAAATGCTAAATATTACCTTGACATTTGCAGTGATATAACTATCTAGTTATAGCTGACTTTATCTTGACATTGAACTTTTCTAACTAATTGAGTGCTTTAATTAATTACTCAGGATTAACCATTAAATTCTTAGTCTTCATTTCTTTTTACCCAAGAGTGGAACTTAATCAATTTAGTAAGCTATATTTATTGTAAGAATATATGGAGTAATTAAATATCAAGTGACAGGAGACCAGTTAAATAAATGATGGCATAGGAACTTAATGAAATATTATTTAGCCATTTAAAATAGAAAATTTAAAGACTGCCTAGCTATACAGAAGGGTCTTAAAATGTAATATGAATTGGAAAAATTTCAGAACACAATTATAGAAACATAATGTAACCATGGAGATGGGTATTCAAAGAGAACACGAAAGAAATATGTTAAGTAAGATGGGATGTGAATTTTGAGGAGACATTTAATTATGCCTTACATATGAATTTTAGAAGGTTTTATGTGTGTTGGATGTTAGCTCCTCAATCTATAGAAGTATGGAAGTTTTATTAAATGTAAACTCTTGAAATTTACACTTTGTAGCATTATTGCATGCCTTGTCTATTACTACTACAAATTAAAACCTGTTTGTTGTTGAAAGTATTTCACATGTATTTTGACAAGAAGGGAGTCCTGCCTTCTGAATTCCAACCATGTTACATAGGAAAACATTTATTTAATGGATAATGCACATTAGGAAAAAAAAAAACTAGATGTAACATAACAAAAACACCCACATTTCACTATTCTATCAGATATTTTCATATAGTCTATTTCTTTCCATTATTTCTCATATGAATATATAATTTTTGCAACTGATACTCTAAAGACTCTAGGACTTTTCATAACACACAATTTATAAGCCTTTATTTCCTCATTCATAATGATCATTTTAATTTTTGTATAAGGGAAACTTTTTTAAAAAACAAAAATGCAATGCCCCTTGAATTCTTGCAATGCAGTGACAAATGAGTATTTTTCCTGACCTTCCTTTGTCTGCTGACTATGCACTTTATGGTTTTGCATACAAAAGTGCCTGTCACCTGATTTCCATTTAAAGAGTAACATGATAACAGAGAGTGCAAGGGGCTAGGTGTTAGATGACACCCACATCACTTAATGTCTGCTTATTGTTTCTACAGGGGAATTCTGGACTGGGATTCAGTATTGCTGGAGGGACAGATAATCCCCACATTGGAGATGACCCTGGCATATTTATTACAAAGATTATACCCGGAGGTGCTGCAGCAGAGGATGGCAGACTCAGGTAAAGATCTGAAACGTTAGAATTATTTGGAAGTTGATCTGATGCTTCAATGAGACACACTTGTACCTTTGGAGAATAATAATTCTACAAAACTCTTATATGTGAGAGGGAAGGTTGTCAAAGCAAGCTTTCTGTAATGCCTTTGCAGATCTCTTGCCACTTACTGATTTTTGAGTAGTGGGGTGTGGTAGAGTACTTGGTAATTGCCAACACCTGCGAGGCTTCTTTTCCTGAGCACTGGAAAAGAAGAAAAAGACAATGAAAGAAACACTTTGCAGTAGGGGAAAGAATCCGTAACTCTGAGTACAACAAAGACAAATGGGGACTTATAACCAAGGAGGGGATGGGGATCAGTGGATAGAAAATTGAAAAGAGAAAACATCAGGGAAAATGGGGATTCTGGCTAAGGGAATTTGACAGGATTCTTGTTGAAGGCAGGCCAGAGTGACAGTGGAGGATGAGGAAATTCATCAGTTACCAAGAGTGAGGGACTTTTGCTAAACTAATTCAATGGGATTCTAAAACTAGAATAAGGAGGTCAAAGACCAAGCCCAAAGTTGAGGCCTAGTGGAGAAGAAGGCTCAGAGGAACCTTACTCGAATTTGATCAAGGAGAGTCTTTGTCAGATGGCACAAGGAATCCTATAGAGTAGAATGGCTCTGGCTTGCATGGAATTACACAGGAAGGTGACACAGGAATGGCACCAATGTAAACTTCATATCCCTTTCTTGTTCTGCTTTGCATTAAGCATGAATGATAAGCCTGTTTGCTGTTTTCTTAGGAATCCTTCAAAGACACTTGTTCCCTATCTAGTCTTTCTGATGCAGTGATTAGTTTTGACAGCTTCATCTTGCAGTTTGTACAGGACAAATTACATTTTGTTTTTCAAGTATACCTGTATTTCCTATCAACAAAAAGAAACACTTCCATAAGGAAATCCATCCTATTTGACAATAGAATTTCCAAGTCAAATTGACAAAGTTATTTTCAGAGTAAGGAAATATCCAGGTTGAAGAGTGAGAGGTTTCAAATAGATGCTGTGATCCAGGCACAATGGCACTCACCTATAATCCCAGGGACTCAGGAGGCTGAGGCAGGAAGATTTCAAAGTGTGAGGTCAGCCTGAGCAACTTAGTGAGACTATCTCAAAATAAAAGGGCTGAGGATGTGGTTCAGTGGTAAAGCACCCTGGTGTGTTTTTTTCTTTTTTTTTTCTTTTTTTAAAGAGAGAGAGAGAGAGAGAGAGAGAGAGAATGTTTTTAATATTTATTTTTTAGTTATTAGCGGACACAACATCTTTGTTTGTATGTGGTACTGAGGATCGAACCCAGGCCGCACGCATGCCAGGCGAGTGTGCTACCACTTAAGCCACATCCCCAGCCCACCACCCTGGTTTCAATCCTGAGTACCACACCAAAAAAGAGAAAAAGGGAGGTGAGAGGGAGAGCGGGAGAGCGAGAGAGATGGAGAGAGAGGGAAGGAAGGAAGGAAGGAAGGAAGGAAGGAAGGAAGGAAGG